GCCAACCACAAGTGGAGCCAGAAGGCCATGCAGGACACCTTCTACCTGAGCAACGTCGCCCCGCAGGTAGGGAGGGCTCCCGCACCCAGCCAGGCTGCTGGCCAAGGGGCCTAGGCATCCCTGGCATCGTCCCTCGCTAGGGACAGAAAGGGACCAAAGTGGCTTGGGGGTGGTGGGCTTTGTGCTAGACCGTCGTCCTGCAAATGCATCTTTTGCTGTCAAAAAGACCCCAGTTTACTTCAGCACAGCACGTTGAACGGGATGTTAAATGCTCACAAAAATGCGGGCCTGAAATCCGCAGGGGCCATTGGTGGGAGTGAACCAGGATCTCTCCTTAGGCAGCCTCCATGGAGGAGGTGACAGTCACAGCTTCTCTGTGAAGTGCCCTGCTGAGAAATGTTGTGCAGAAGCCACGTGTTCTTGAGGAAAACGGAGCCATGAGGAAGCGTCCCCTGAGTGACCTTCCCACCTTCCTTGCCCTGGTTGTGCTTCTAGGTGCCCCACTTGAACCAGAACGCGTGGAATAACCTTGAGAAGTACAGCAGGAGTTTGGCTAGGAACAACAAGAACGTATACGTCTGCACGGGACCTCTTTTCCTGCCCAGGTAAATGTGAGGGCTGTGTAGGGACAGCAGCGCATTGTGGGGTTAAACAAGGCTGAGGGATTCCAGTTTCCTGAGCATGCAGCAAACTGATTTGCTCAGCCCCTGTTCAGTGAGTCCGTCTATGTGTGTAGGGCCTGTGGACAAGTGTTTTCTTGGGGTTGGGATTAGTTTACCTGTTTCCAACTTAGCAGATGATTTCAGGAGGAGTTAGGGTCAGACCTTTCCCAGGTAGGATCCATTTCTGTGGCTCTTGCCCAGCTGCTATCATTAACTGTGGCATCTATTCTAGTGCTGTTTTCCAGAGATAAAACATAAGGCTTTTATACACAGGATGCTCTGTGCCATGTTGGAGGTGGCACTTGGGTGTTGCAGGAGGGCTGAGAAGGTAAATGTGGGACCAGGGCAGGAGGTAACGGTAACAGCCATTGCTCTTGGCACAGGATGGAAGCGGATGGGAAGATGTACGTCAAGTACCAGGTGATTGGGAAGAACAACGTGGCTGTGCCCACCCATTTCTTCAAGGTGCTCATCCTGGAGAAGGAGAGTGGGGAGATTGAGCTGCGCTCCTACGTGATGCCCAACAGCCCTGTGGATGAGAACATCCCACTCGAACGATTCTTGGTTCCCATTGAGAGCATCGAGAGGGCTTCGGGGCTCCTCTTTGTCCCCAACATCCTGAAGAAGACAAGTAACTTAAAAGCCATCACAGCTGGGAAGAAGTGATGAGCCATGACTAAACAACTTAAGGTGTCCTCTGGCAGGGACTGTGACAGCAGTTCGTAGCAAAATTATGTTTCCTTGCACACTTTTAAATGTGAAATAATGTTAAATCAGCGCTTCTTTCTGCGTGGGACTGGAGGAAGGGCAATATTGAAGTGGATGTGCAAGGCCAGTCTCGGAGGCAGGTCCTGCAGGAGGCTCCTGAGCCCCCGATAGTCTAAGAGCATGTCCAGGGTTTGCCTGTAGAACTGCAGTACTGAGGATGCTCCTGTAACTTACTCCCTTTGAGTTGTGTGTGGCTCATTAAGAGACAATGGCGAGTTACTTAATTTCAGATATTTGGCAGGGGAAAAGAGGTGCGAGATGGGTGAGTACCTGCCCTTTTGTGGTAAAAGGATTGTATAATGTTTTATTTCAGAAGATGATTTTTAGCAGTAAAGCTTTGAAAACTCAGGGTATTGACCATTTCTTATCTGCTCTTAACAAAGCCTTGAAAGCTTAAACAGTAAGGATGACAGAGCCAATTTTCCAGGTGTTTTCTTGCTTGGTCTTACTGTAAATAGAGTTTAAGATCTCTAATTAGAGCCAAGGCAAGATGTACATATGTGCTTTAGATCTGAGGCCCCACTGAAGCTGCAGCCCTTCCTGCTGTGAGTTGAAGGAGAGGCTGTGGGGCAGGAACTGCTTCCTGGTGTAAGGACGGCAATTTGACTTCCTTATGTTGACTTAAACTGTGAAGTCCACTGGGCTCCAGCAGCACTGAGAGTGCAGGATCTCCACCTAGTGGGTGTTCCTTGTCCCTATCAAGACATTTGCACACATTGAGGTGGATGAGGTTTGATATTGTTTTATTCGCCATCCCGGATACCTGAAGTGGCCCCCCAGTCAGGCTTATCCCCTGTGGCCGGGGTGCATGCAGGCCTGGACCACGCAGCAGGAGAGCTCAGACTTCTTGTGTCCAGCACAAATAGACACTTAGTCCAGCTGCACCGTCAGTCATGTTGTGTCTTTTGCTTTGCCCAGGCCCGGCCCCGAAGGGCTCTTGGAGCCATTGACACTTGAATAGCAAAGGGCTCTTCCTCAAGCCAGTCTGCAGCCGATGGGAACATCAGGGGATCTTCTTCCCTTGACTGTCTCTGGGTGTCTTCACAGCCTCATCGATGTGGGGTCTCAGCGATGACAGGGAGATCAGCAGGGCTTCCTACAACAGACCGAGCGATGTCCTTGCAGCGCGTGTCGTTGCCACGGCCCCGCCGTGCCGTGGCCGCCCGCCCTACCTCCGTCCTGATGGTTCGGCTGCCTTGGCCGGGACAGGTGTTCAGGTAGAGGTCAAACAGGACACTTGGGTCAGTGACCTCCAGGTTTGGGTCTGCATCAACCCCAGCTTCCAAGCCCTGGAGACCTCCAAACACGACCAGGGCATGCCTGAGAGGGAACGCAGGACACGATTAGCAGGGAGACTGTCCCTCTCCCCTCTTTTTACCCAGGAGAGCTCTTCATGTGCCTCGGACAATGAAGTGGATTAAGAATTTGCTTTGCTGTCTTTTTTTTAAACTTTGCTTTGCAGGTTGCAAGAAAAGGACACATTTCTTGTGTCCAAGTAGGTGTAATCTGTGCTCAAGCTCCTCTGCATCACTGAGGCAGGGAGCTGGGTGCTCTGCTGACAACTGCCCAACGCAGCAGCCTCCCTGGGGAAGCTCCGCAGCCCAGGAGAGCACAGCCAGGAGCCCGCGTGCGAGTCCTGCACGTGCACCTGGGAACAGCCCCGTCTGGGAGAACACCAAGGTGGGGATGACATGTACCTGAAGGAGGGGAGACTGGCCTGGTCCACGGAGCTCCCGCGCTCCGAGGTCCCAATAGAGAGGTCGTAGCCTTCCTTGAAGGGACACTCGGAGAAGACGGCACCTGGGAAACGAGCACAACGCGCAGTTATCTGCGTGGGGCCTCACCATGCTCAGGCCTCTTTCAACAGCTTCAAAGGCTTCATAGGTAACTGCTAGCAGCAGAAAGGGAATTGCTTCTCTGCGTTGCTAGTGTATCTGAAGGTGCAGTAAGTGCAGGCCTGCTCTCCCTCTTTCCTATGTTATCCCCTAGGTGTTGGGGCTTCCTAGCACCTTTCTCACCCCATGGGTGAGTACCCTTTCGTGAAAGCTCAAACGGGCACCACGAGCTCTTCGTTGGTTAAAGCAGAAGCAGTGGCTACATTTGCCTGTGGCTCAACACACCCAGGTGGCACCTTTCTGTTTTAGATAAAGCTCTGTACAGTCTATGCCAGAGACCTTTAAATTTCAGAGCTTATGGGTTGCCTAGGAGGTCCAATCAGTGAGGAGACGGGGGAAGAGCTTTTGATTTTCCTGAGCTCCAATGTCACTGTGTGCTTTCATGTAAGTGAGCAGTAGCTGGGTACTGGGGAGATGAGCAGCGTGGAGACAAGCACTGACTCCTTGGGTGCCTTCAACTGCTGGAAGCATTTGGAGCAAGGTGAGTGGATTTCCAGGACAAGGTACTGCTGGGTAACTGGGATGATTCACTCCCCAACCTTCATGGCTCAGATTGGTGTGGGCGAGGCTGGTTTCTGCTGCAGGGCCGTGAGTGGCTGGAAACACTTACTCAGGCAGGAGGCAAGGCGGACGCTGTAACCCCAGTACAGGCCTGACACTGTCCGAGGATGATGTGAGGACACCACGGTGCCTTTCCGCACTTTGCTGTCTGAAAGGGAAACAAAGAGATTGACAATCCCTTGCGCCCTCCTCGTGAGGGCTGGGTTTGACCAGCCACATCATGAGATTGTCCTGGGGAAAGGTCCTGCTGTGGTGCACAACGAAGAACCACCAACCTGAGCCTGTCATGGAAAGCAAGCAAGTGCCCTCAGGATATTTATTACTGGTGAAAGAGCTGCCAACTCTTTCCACTAAACTGGAGAAGTATGGCAAGGGTGTCCATAAAGCTGTGGAGGGTTGAAAGGGGCATGCAGAGCTGCTGAGTATATTCAAGCATTGGGAATTTGAAGGCTATCACATGAAAGAACCAGATCCTGCAAGAATCAAGCCTACAGATGCCATGGGGAGCAGTGGATTACCTGGATTCTGAGGTTCTTCCAGGCGCACAGTGACTCGCAGACCAGGATCCAGCTGCTTGTCAATCCGCACCTCCTGCAGTGACAGTCACCGGCAGTGTCAGCCTGAAGTACTGGGGGAAGCAGGGAGGGAAGGGACCCTCTGGGCAAGAAGAGGCCCATTCCAGCCTGGAGCTGGAAGCTTTAAACTCCATCCCAGCCCACTTGAAACGGGGCCTTCAGAAACCCAACAGGACCCACCCTGTCCGCCTAGATTCTGCCAGAGAGACAGGGAGAGCCATCTGGGGATCTGCGGGTCACAGCAGACCTACCTTCCTCATGCCACAGTTAACAAAAGAGCCTCTGCCCGGCTTAGTTGGCCGGTCCAACACGACACCTTCTCGGTACTCTGAGTCCTCATCCACCCGCATGTGGTGGGGGCTGTCCAGGGGATTCAGCAGCCCTAGGGCAGCACAGAAGAAAGCGGCAGCTGAGAAAAGGACACAAACTCGGGGAAAACAACCAAGTACAACTGCTCTGCTGTTCCCTCCCTCCCTGCTCCTGTGGACCACGGCAGCTCAACCTGCTGAGGGGAAAGGCTCTCCAACTCTGAGGAGTCAGAGCTCAGGAAGAGGGGAGCCAGCAGCCTGAGGCGGAGGCAATAAGATTCCTACCTGCAAACTGCAGATCCTCATGTTTTGGAAAAAAGGATTTCCTCAAGTACCTGTTAACAGGAAAAGTTCAAACATGAAAACAGTTTCAAGCCTCAATGTAACATTTTCCTGACTCCAATGAGCTGCATGCTTCTCTCATTCTTAGCTCCCTGACCTATCTCTAAGACACTAAGCCTGTTATCCTACATTCTCTGTTCTTCTGATTGTTTTATTGTCTTGTTAATGGGTGTAATTGAAAGATCTCAGGTTAGTGCAACACACTGCAGCAAAAATAGTCTGGATCCTGTTTCTGCAGAAGACACCCATGGAACCTGGCACCAGATTTGGCTACCAGCCCACCTGCTGCACAGCCCGGCCACCCTGCACTTACTGAGGGCACTCCAAGTACTGCAGGATGCGAGCAAGCTGCACACAAGCCTTGCCTCTCTTCCCAATTCCTGCAAATTCCCCCTCCACGCTCCTGAAAGAGAGAGAGAACAGCCTGTGATCACAGCATTTTCTTGAGGTACATTCTCGGCTCAAGAAAAGAGCGGAGAAACAAAAGGCACAAAGGTAAGGTTTTCTGGGAAACAAGGCAGCTCATGTTTACTTTACGTCTTCTCCATGCTCATCAAAAACGACAATCTCATCCACACAGAAGATGGCACAAGCCCGAGCAATCTGTCCAGCAAGGTACGTCCGCAGCTCCAGGGACTGGGCGTTATTCAGGATAGAGCCTGGCAGGGCGACACTCAGGGTGTAGTGACGCCCTGGGGAACAGAATGCAGTTGGAGCTGTCAGGCTGTGGCTCTTCTATCTCCATCATTTTATTTGCTTCCTCAGTGAGAATAAGCGTGGGAGAAATGGGAACAACTTAAATATCTTAAATTTTAACCAGGGATTTTCTGTTAATAAAAGCTTCCCTGGCAGTGCCTACTATACTGTGTTTATGCCTCCTGCCAATCGTGATGTCTAGCAGGTAGCTGGAGCTGAGCCTCACCTTTTGTGTTGATATGTACAACTACCACCCCCCCAGCATCAACACAGATTTTTGACTTTTCACAACCCCCTTTTTTCCCCAGCCCCTGTTCACGGTCCTCTCCTCGGCTACCACAAGCAGCAGCAGCATTACCTTTATCCTCATTCTGCTCCTCTTTCTTTTGTGCCTGCTCTTTCGCAGCGAGCTCCTGCATCCTCTGCTTCTCCAGTTTCTTTATGAGCTTTATTTCCCTCCATTTTTTCTTCTCCGCTTTCCCTGGGGAATGAGGTGGGGGGGGTAGAGAGAAGCATGGCCTGTTAAAGAGTAA